ACAGACCTAGAAACACCAAACCAAAGTTCGGCAATTAGACCACATGAATTGCCTCAGACAACACCAACTAGAACAGACCAAGAAACACAAAACCAAAGTTCGGCAATTAGACCACATGGATTGCCTCAGATAACACCAACTGGAACAGACCTAGAAACACCAAACCAAAGTTCGGCAATTAGACCACATGAATTGCCTCAGACAACACCAACCAGGACAGACCAAGAAACAGAAAACCAAAGTTCGGCTATTAGACCACATGAATTGCCTCAGACAACACCAACTAGAACAGACCAAGAAACAGAAAACCAAAGTTCGGCAATTAGACCACATGAATTGCCTCAGACAACACCCACTGGAACAGACCAAGAAACACAAAACCAAAGTTCGGCAATTAGACCACATAAATTGCCTCAGATAACACCCACTGGAACAGACCAAGAAACAGAAAACCAAAGTTCGGCAATTAGACCACATGAATTGCCTCAGACAACATCCACTGGAACAGACCAAGAAACACAAAACCAAAGTTCGGCAATTAGACCACATGAATTGCCTCAGACAACACCCACTGGAACAGATCAAGAAACACAAAACCAAAGTTCGGCAATTAGACCCCATGGATTGCCTCAGATAACACCAACTGGAACAGACCTAGAAACACCAAACCAAAGTTCGGCAATTAGACCACATGAATTGCCTCAGACAACACCAACTAGAACAGACCAAGAAACAGAAAACCAAAGTTCGGCTATTAGACCACATGAATTGCTTCAGACAACACCAACCGGAACAGACCAAGAAACACCAAACCAAAGTTCGGCAATTAGACCACATGAATTGCCTCAGACAACACCAACCAGGACAGACCAAGAAACAGAAAACCAAAGTTCGGCAATTAGACCACATGAATTGTCTCAGACAACACCAACTAGAACAGATCAAGAAACACAAAACCAAAGTTCGACAATTAGACCACATGAATTGTCTCAGACAACACCAACCGGAACAGACCAAGAAACAGAAAACCAAAGTTCGACAATTAGACCACATGAATTGCCTCAGACAACACCCACTGAACAGACCAAGAAACACAAAACC